CAAAGCTGAATACCATACATATACATATACATATACATATACATATATATACATATACACACACACACACACACACACACACACCCTAAAGGGGAAGGAAATAAGGGAGTGTTCTCTCATGTTTTACTTTGTTCTTGATTACCTGTTGTGTGGCAGATAATTTGTGATGGTATCTAGTATACTTTTCAAGGATCCAGATGTGTCCATTTTGCCTTTATCCTTAATACATTTTTTTGTTTTGAAATGGAATTGAGATGGTTCCAAATTTCTAAATTGATCATTGATTCCACAAACTTTTTTGTTACGTTGTAGTTGGTTGATACAACCGTGGAGCTTGCAAACAAAGTTGGAGCTGCAGAAATTATTTCCAGGATTGTGGATGATCTAAAAGATGAAGCTGAGCAATACAGGAAAATGGTTATGGAAACTATTGAAAAGATCATGGGGAATCTGGGTGCAGCTGACATTGACCATAAGTTGGAAGAACAACTTATTGATGGGATTCTATATGCCTTTCAAGAACAGACTACAGAGGTAAATGAATATACTCATAAAAGCTATTCTGGATTCAGATTCAAATTATGTCAAATATTGGAAATGTTGGAAAAAGATATTTATGCCATCAAAAGTCATTTGATTGTTACAGTTAGCAAATCTAATACATTTTAGAGATACACAAGGTCTGTGTAATGAGATAACATTTCATCTCATTAGGGCTATGCTTGGATTAAGATAAACTATTTTCTGCCCCAGTAAATATTCAGCATCTTTTTTGTGATGGGAAAGAGCTCTCAAGCTTTCTTCATCTAATACTTTCTGCTTTTGGGGTCAGCTTAGTCCTTTTTTCAGTAGAATAGAAATTAATATTAAAATTCTCAAATTCTCTTCGATGGGCATTATTGCTAAGCAATCTCAAGATGGAATTGATCTATTTCAGTGTAAGGGCTGGAGTTGTTATAGAATGTTCTCCTTGCATTATCATTTTGCTAACAGAGGACTACAGTTCTAGTACTTGTAATATTTCTTGCTTATCAGGTGACTTCAAAAAATGACAGCCTAAAATTTAATCTTCCCAGAATGTGACAATAAAAACTACAACTGTCAGATAGTATTTTAACACTGCTCTAATTTTTTTTTTATTGATAGGACTCTGTGATGTTGAATGGCTTTGGTACAGTGGTAAATGCTCTTGGCAAGCGAGTGAAACCATACTTACCCCAGATCTGTGGTACAGTGTTATGGCGTTTGAACAACAAATCGGCCAAAGTGAGACAGCAAGCTGCTGACCTGATATCTCGTACCGCAGTTGTCATGAAAACCTGTCAAGAGGTATTCACTGTTTGCTATCTTCTTCCATAAACATCTACTGTGGGTTTAAAGTTGTTGGATTCTAAGTATATTTTTCTTTGTCTTTTTGTCCTAGGAAAAATTGATGGGTCACTTGGGTGTGGTATTGTATGAGTATTTGGGTGAAGAATACCCTGAAGTACTGGGCAGTATCCTAGGAGCTCTTAAAGCCATTGTGAATGTCATAGGTAAGTATGTGAGTTGTGGTTAGAGTGACATTTTTACTTTGAAAAATAGAAATGGAGATTAAATATATTGTTTCCTACATATGACAGGTATGCACAAAATGACTCCTCCAATTAAAGATCTGCTGCCAAGACTTACACCTATCTTAAAGAACAGGCATGAAAAAGTACAAGAGAATTGTATTGACTTGGTTGGACGAATTGCAGACAGGTAAATTCATTTGTGGCACAACATAATAAACAGTTAAATATGTCTTACAAATAAAATGACTTCTTGAAATGAATTTATACAAGTAATTCTCGACTTACAATAATTCATATAGTGACTGTTCAAAGTTACAATAGCACTGAAAAAAAGTTGCTTAAGATGATTTTTTTTCGACTGTTACAGCATCCTCAATGGTCATGATTCATATTTATGATGGTTGAGGTGTCCCTGGGTCATTAATCATATTTTGCAATCTTCTGACAAGTAAAGTCAATAGGGAAGCCAGATCCCCTTAATAACTGTATTATTAACTTAATGCCCATAATGGTTCATTTAACAACTGTGGTAAGAAAGGTTGCAAAATGGAATAACACTCACTTTTCAACTGTCTCGCTTAGTATCAGAAATGTTGGGGTCAATTCTGATCATAAGTCAAGGACTACCTGTACAGACCTTATGAAATCTGAATGTTCTTGCCTCTGTCCTCATTAAATACCTTCCATCATTGTTTTCCCCTCAAAATTTAACAGTGCATTTCAAAGATATAGAAAATTTCCAACCTGCTGACTGCTGTATATGTCCCAAGAGAAGTCAGGATAAGGCTGTCCTCCTTCCCAGAAATCCCATCTTACTCAATGCCTTTCTGTACATAGAGAAAAAGCACAGGAAAACGTTAGCATAAAGAAAGTGACTACATCTGTGGTACTTTGGTTTAGATGTTAGAGTTTTGGGAAAGGAAGCCCTCTTTATAGATGTTACCTGATCATCTCTACTATTTCACTTAATTTGGCAAATGTATTTAAATGTTCTTTATTACTATTAATACCATTTCCTCTTTCTTCCAGAGGGGCAGAATATGTTTCTGCAAGGGAATGGATGAGGATTTGCTTTGAATTGCTTGAATTGTTAAAAGCACATAAGAAAGCTATTAGAAGAGCTACTGTCAATACATTTGGTTATATTGCAAAAGCTATTGGGTAAGTATAAGCTTCCTGTACTGATTTGTTTAAATGGGGATGAAAAGTTAATGTTAAAGTTAACTCTACTGTGATTATTTACGTCTTGGTTGTTAGTGGCAAGACATTCTCAACATTAAACATTTTACCTAGCTTAGATTTTGTGCATTTATCTGGAAATGAATTTATTGAACAGAATCTAACATCTGAACCAGAAGAGGGTATTGGCTTCATTTAATGTAATCTTATGGCAGAATTGGAAAGAAGAAACGAGGGGTTAGTAAGGTTAGCAATAAAACAAAAAAAACCCTGATAATCTGGCTACACATTATATGTAATAAAATTGTGAATTGATTAATTATAAGCAATTAGTATTTTTACCAAGGAAAATACTATGCATCAGAAATTATTGCATGAACTTCGCCATGATTATTGTAAGCTTTTGTAATAATTACATATAAAGTTACTTATTTAGTTTTATATGATTTTGTAAGAGTATTGTATCCTAAAACTTTTCTGTCAACAAAAATACAAGAAATTTCTTGAGGATTAATTATATGGATAGGCAGGCAGACAGATTTCTAGCTGTAATTTTTCTCTTAACATTTTTATTTTTCCCTTATTTTAGGCCTCATGATGTGCTGGCAACCCTGCTAAATAATTTGAAAGTACAAGAACGACAAAACAGAGTGTGTACCACAGTGGCAATTGCTATTGTGGCTGAAACCTGTTCCCCTTTTACAGTACTGCCTGCACTTATGAATGAATACAGAGTTCCAGAATTGAATGTTCAGAATGGTGTATTAAAATCTCTTTCTTTCCTATTTGAATATATTGGAGAAATGGGAAAAGACTACATTTACGCTGTTACCCCCTTACTTGAAGATGCTTTAATGGACAGGTAATTTTTCCCTCCACACTAAACTATTTCTTCCCTTTTGGTTTTATTTGCCAGGTTATAATAAACCTAACAAATATTAAACCAACTAGTTAGGTTCATGATTGTGGCGGTGTGGAAAGACCACAGAAACATGCTTATTGAGATGTGAAATTCATGGGGTAGCTGAAAAATGAGGTTTTTTTTTTGTTTCTTGGACATGAGGAATATACATATACGTAATAATTACTTTTGGACCTCCTTTATGTATTTAAATAAATGAATCAGTATATTTGAGAGTTATTCTATAGTATATAGCTTTTCTTGAAATACAGTAATTACAATGGTCTGGAATTAAATAATCTTAAATGATAATCCTATTATATTCCTTTATCCCAACAGTAGAAAGGAAATGAAGATAAGGAATAGTTCCTTTCTTATCCTTGTTTAATTATTTGAACAGGAATTCAGCTCCAGAGCACATAGAAGGGCTGGGGTAGTGGGGTCTCTATTGCTATGGTTCCTTCTACACTGGTTGTGTAAGTAAAAGAGAAACAAGGGTAGTGATATAGAGTGCTTGGATGTTACTTTTACAGTATTCTCTACCCATCCACCCATACCTACCCCTATCTTGCAATCTATCTTGGGCTGCTAAAGTGTACTGCTCCCTTATTGTTTTTCTCTTTTTGATACAGCTTCTTATAATAAACTGATTTAGGAATTTGGTTGACCTGGCAATATTTCTTCTTTTTGTGAAATTGAAGCACAGTTTTGATTTTGAGTCAAAAGGAGGAAAGTTAATCCTGCCAGTTAACAACCCAAGACTATTGGAAAGAAAAGGATGAACAATCATGTTTGATATCGAATGATTTTATTTTATCAAATTAGAACAACTGCTGGCTCAAGGTTACTGGTGGAAAGAAAGAGACTAGAAAAACAAATAGGGAGCAAGTTACTGATAATGCCTGTACAATTTGTTTTTCAGGGATCTGGTTCACAGGCAAACAGCTAGTGCAGTAGTGCAGCATATGTCTCTTGGAGTATATGGGTTTGGCTGTGAGGACTCTCTGAATCACTTGCTAAATTATGTGTGGCCCAACGTGTTTGAGACATCTCCTCACGTCATTCAAGCAGTTATGGGAGCACTGGAGGGCCTAAGGGTGGCTATTGGACCTTGCCGGATGTTGCAGTATTGTTTACAAGTAAGTTGGACAAAGATACCTGTCTAGGCTTCTGAATAATTTTTAAAAAGAATATTAAATCAGGAAAATTATTTAATTGAAGAGTATCCTATAGCTGTCCTAAAGACTTTGTTATATTGGAACGCTAGAAAAGAATTGTAATGTAGCAAGATTCCATGTATATGGTTTCCGAATGAACATTGGTAATGAAATTTTCCAAGATCAGTCTTTCCTACTGATTCATATAATAAGAAATAATAGCTAGCATGGGCAATGGATACATGTGCCTTAATAAACAGAAATTATTTTAATAAAAACACTACATAAACTACAAATTATAAAATCAACTGATTGGATTTCTGCACAGAATTTCATTTTGTGGCTACATGTAAAAACTTTTGCTCGATTGTAATGTGGCTTTTGCCACACCATTCTTGTGGTCTATTATGTAAGCTGCTTCTCAAAGCTTTTGCCAATTATTTCTAGGAAGGATGAGCTAGATAACGTAGATCAAACTGAATAACATGATACCCAGATTTCTGACATGTCATAAATGCCATTTCTTTGTAAATGATCAGTAAATAAGATGATTCACTTAAGTTCAGTTTCATTTCTGGTTCTATTCTTTTCCTAGGGTTTGTTTCACCCTGCCAGAAAAGTCAGAGATGTGTATTGGAAGATTTATAATTCCATCTATATTGGTTCACAGGATGCTCTAATAGCACATTATCCACGAATCTACAATGATGAAAAGAATACCTACATTCGTTACGAACTTGATTATGTCTTGTAATTTTATTTCTCATTTGTTTTGTGTTAAATAGACAGCTATTCCATATTTGGTTCAGATCTGGTGATGTACAATTTTTAAGACACTGCAGAGTACCGTAAAATGGTCAGAGGCAGAGCTTAGAAATCAATAGCATGATTTTTAAATAACATGTCTTTGTTTTGGTGTTAAAGCCAGTAGTGACCAAGAACACAGTGATTGCAGAGAATATGGGGGGAATCATCTTGAGGATTTAAGATTCTGTTCCTTGTGTTTAAAGGGGATGTTTGAGAAATAAACATTTGTGTATAAAATATTAATGGTTATTTGTGTGTGAGCATTTTTGGGCAGGGAGACATATAATAAGTCTCAGATCATCAAGCAGTTTATGTACAAAGGTGGCATATTACATTTTAATTGTCTTTGTCATACCCTAGCTTTTGAATAAATAAGGAACGTTCACATTTTGATTGTTGTGTCTTTATCCTGAAAAAGCACTTGTTATAAAATTGGCTTTTGTACTGAATTGAATTGAGGTTTGGGTCTTTATTTTTTCTTTTCTCAACCAAATATTTTCCTACCATATGTCCACTGTTTTCTTCCAATATTCTCCTGAAGCAGTAATGAATTCAAAACCGGATATTTAATGAATATTGAAACATGGCTGTGGATTACATACTAAAATAGGTGTATATGTGGTGTTGAAATGTTATTGGGAGGCTATGTACAATATGTAACATTCAGTGGGTAAACATTACACCAAATACCCACCAGCAAATTTTATGGCTGGTCATGGCAACACTTATTCAAAAGGGGGAAATGGCACAGATGTCTAACTGATGATAGCAGCCATTGTATGTGGGAGGCCCACTATAAAAGAAAAATGAAGCCTGTGGTTAACATGCCATTCAAGTTGTCATTTTGTGGCTGCTGTTCCCACTTAACTATCTGGAGGTTGGGAAGGAAAATTGACAATTGATTAGCAAACATTCAATTCAGATGACATTGCAAACTTGGTATTTAAATGCAATTAAATGGGATGCCTGTTCTAGGCTAACACATTGTGGTAACTTGAATCAAGGGGAAAGTATGCATTTGTTGGTCAGGGACAATACTCTTGTGTTAATTTATAAGGAGAGTAAGGCTGCAGCAAACCAGATAAATATGTGCAGTGAAAAATTGGCCATATAATGTTTATGGAAAGCTTCCAAGGCCACATTTTTTAAAACTTTGTCTCAATTGCTACCTCAGATTATCTTTAAACATGCCAGAATCATGACACTTAGATTCCCATGTTCTTGAAGATACCAAAGAATCTTGAGACATACAAAAAGCTTTAACAATAACATTCATGGAAAACTTAAGTCTCACATTTTAAGCTCTACTTTAAGCTTGGACTTTGACTGAAATAATGTGCATCAGATGCTTACATAGATTAACAGAGTTGGAAGGCACCTTGTAGGTCATCTAGTCCAACCTTCCACCCAAGCAGGAGACCCTACAACAGGGGTTGCCAACCTTTTGGACCTCAGGGACCACCAAACTCATAATTTTAAATCCCACAGTGTGGTGGTCTCCCATGGAAAGAAAGACACAAACGTGTGTACTCGGGATGGAAGCCCAGAATAATTTCTAGTGCTTCCTTTTGTTGAGATTTAGTACATAGTCAGCATAATTACATTTTGGCTTAATAATTAGATATAGTAAAGGCTTGTTTGCAGTTTTTTAAGCTGCCTCCTTGTTTGTATTTGTCCTTATTCTCTTTTCTTTGCATTACCTTAGTAACCTTTAGACAGGCATGTATGTATAAAGCATATTAATCATTGCTCAAGCTCAGGTCAAAGTTTATTCCCACATCTCCCCTGTTTTAGTTTTTTGATGATCGCGGATGCCTCGGTAGCTTTTCGCCATCTGCAACAGCAATTCTTCCGTAGGCTTCACCTGACACATTCCTAAAAGTCCAGGGAGACATTGGATACAACAGCATACACAAAGAGAAAGTAAAAAAAGCAATATCACTCCAGCGATTAGGTGACAAATCCATGAACCATCTGGCAACCAGGACCAAAGTGCAGACCACACGTCCAGTCCCTCACCTTCCGATTGTAATGGATTCTCATTCAGGTTTTGTTCCATATGTTGTATAGTAGCTGTAATGTTTGGAGAATAATCAGAGATATACATGCAACAATGCGTATGAATCACAGCGCAAACTCCCCCTTGCGCTGCCAAAATAGTGTCCACCACATATCTGGTTTGCAGGACAAAGTCAAGGATTTTTCCTTGCTCTTCTTCAAGCAGCTTTAGCGTTTAAATGGTGTCTTTAAACATAGTAACTGTCCAATTGTTTAAACGATGTAAATCTCTATAGTTCATCATGACTCCTAAAGGAGGAATAACTCCCCTTGATATCTGTCCAGTAGTCATGAGTCAAAACAGAGTTTACTTCCGTTGCGGAACGCGCATTGCGGATATGAGCAGTCCCCAATGATTTTTTAATGAAATGAGATGGGATTACTTTCCCAAAGGTGCAGACCCCTTTCCATCGTGCTGGCATGTGATCATAGGCCATCCGTCCACACAGCAACCATAGATTTGCTCCCAGGAGATGACCAACCGTATTTGGTTCAGCATAGATTAATTGTGCATTAACATAGCCAAATAAGTGGATGATGGTGCGTATTTCCCATTCGCACATTTGGGCAACTGGTTTTCTCTTGTGATGGGACAACATGTGGCAGGAATATATGGACACCTATTTTCATTGATCAAAGATGTGATATCATATCGAGAAATATTATGTACAAAGTAAGTGAGATTTTTAGTTTTCATATCATTAGAATAAAACCAACTTCCATTGCTAATAACAATTCTTTTGTTGCAAAACGGATATGTCCCCAAGTAAGTCATATTTTTTACTGTCTCATTGTGGGTCCAGCAGATACCCGCCACCTCTTGGATCCGGCTTCCAAGGTGTAAGGTATTTATGTTACTTTTAGTCCAACTGCCAGACCACATCCCTGAACAACCATAACATTGTCCCTTATACCAGTCACCTTCGGCCAGAGGTACTGCAGCCATTGGAAGCCCTGATGTTTTGTGAGTTGGCATGTGCATACATATCCAACAATCAGTTTTATTATGAAGGTTTGCTAGCTTCCCCATGTCCTGGATCAACGTGTTTCTTTTCCATTCCCCCAAATCCATCCCCTTGCCCCTTTGGCTGATGATAAGGACGCACACAGTGAGCAAGAACCCAAACAACTGTCCCCTCATCTTCAACAGCAGCGTATCCTCTGCCCCAAGTTATCAGCGGGACGGGTCCTCTCCACGTTGGATCTGGTAGTCTCCTATACCGAACTTTCGGTCTTGGCGTACCTGCAGAAGGGGAGGAAGCAAAATGCCTACTGGCTGCCGTAGCAGCTGTCATGTTTAGAAAATTTTAAGTATATAATGTAATATTAAGAATGTTTTGTATGTAAGGCAAGCCATATCCATCCACTTCCCCCGTTTTTGTTTTTATGTGAAGGAGTGCTTTTCCTGTGGAAGTGGCCATTGGTCAATCCAAACTGGCTGAAAGGTTAACAATTGTAATTTTTCCATTATCCAATAACAATTTTTGTGCGAAATTGTGACAGCAAATCTCTACCCCACAAGTTTATATGCAAGGGCAACACAAGAGGTTGAATCCTTGCAGTCTCACCAGTTTCTCTATGCAATGCCTTCAACCAATGTACACTACTTCTAGCAAATTGCATACCACCCACTCCACGAACAGCCGGAGAATCCTCAAGCGCCCATTCATTTGGCCATTCCTTTTGGCGTATCACAGAGACATCTGCTCCGGAATCTATAAGGCCAGAAAATGATTTTTCTTGAATTTCAATTGTCATTTTTGGTTGGTCTGTAGTCAAATTTTTTGTCAGCGCTAGCAATTCTGCAGCAACTGGAGAACTGGCCATTTCAGTGGACCCAAAACCACCAGTTCGTGGGATCCCAATTAAAGGATTCATAGGAATGTATGGAAGCAATAATAACTGGGCAATAGATTCACCGGCCATTAATGATGTAGGAGTATCAGTGTACAATTGTATCTTAATAACTCCTTTATAATCTTGATCAATAACTCCTGGAATAACAAAAAAACCCTTTTTCTGATGCAGAAGACCTGGGAAGTACTAATCCCACTGTTTTTTCTGGCAATGGCCCATGCAAATGAGTGTCCTCAATGTACACTTGATTGGGAAAAGTCACATTAATTGAGTTCAACATTTTTAAACTCAAACCTGCACTCCTAGTAATTGCAGGCAATGCCTTTGTGACAGCCTTGGGAGCGGGGCTAGCTGCACGCCCCAAATTTAGTTTCCCGAATTTTGGTTCTGATCAGAGTGATATTGATTTGCCCAATGAAACCCTTTTTTGCATTTTGGACAGACTGACTTCGGGCGGATGTCCTTAATTTTGTTTTTGTTAAATGCCATTCCCCCCACCTCAGGGGCACGGCACTGAGCTTTAAAATGGCCAGGCTTCCCACAATTAAAACAATTCCCTGTAGGTTTCATCCCTTTTTGTAATGCTATAGCCAAAGTCTCCATGTTGTAAGCCTGAGAACCCACCACTGCACATGCTTTTAACAGATCAGCCAGAGTAACCTCACCTCTAGCCACCAAAGGCTGTAAAATATGCTTGCAGTCAGCGTTTGCATTTTCAACTGCTAATTTCAGCAAAAGTTCCTTTGCTGCTTCCTCATTAGAAATTTGTCTGGTAATAGCCAATTGTAGCCTTTCCACAAAATCGTTGTAAGACTCAGATGCTGTTTGCTTAATTTGAGAAAAAGACTGTGCTGGGGTTCCCACATCCTGGATGCGGGACAACGCCCCAAGGACAGCTGCCATAACTACTGGAAGTGCATGATCAGGCAAATTAGTAGCTTGATCAGCAGTGGATTCAAACAAGCCTGCTCCATAGATTTGGTCTGGCGTATACAGCCCCCCTGAATTCCTTCCCCTAGTGATAGCTTCTCTTTGATATTCTGAGTCAAAAACCACATACTGAGTAGAACTCAATATCATTCTCATTAAATCTTTCCAGTCATTAGGAATCATGCGTGAGGTAGCCAAACTTGTCAGAAGCCCCTTTGTAAAAGGACTTTGAATACCATAATCTTTAACTGCTTTTTTAATTTCCCTAAGAACTGCCAAAGGAATCGGAACCCATTCAGTTTGCAGATTACCTTGAGCATTTATTTGCCTATTAACTGGAAACAAATTCATCTGGGGAATCTCGTCAGGCTCTAATTTCCCTTCATTGAAAGCCTGATGCATCATTGCTTGAACTTTCCCCGTTTGTGATTGGATTTTCTCATCCACTGGAGTAGGCGCTGTTGGGGGTGATAAAGCATACTCCACTTTTGGGGTAGGAGGGTGCAATACAACTCCTTTATAAGGAGGAGGTTCTGCTAAAGTTTTTAAAAGAGGTTGTTGCTGGGTTTCTAAAGCAGTCATAACAACCTTCCAATATATCAAAATTTCAGCTGTTGCCCGTGGCTGTTCCGATTCTCCTCCACGTGTCTAATTTTAAAGATCCCTTCTCAGAGTACCAGGGACATTGTCGCCAGATCTCTTGCAGCAGCTCTCTCACATTACCTTTTGAAAGAACTATTTGCTCCCCCCCCCAGAGGGTTTAAAGATAAAGTAGTTTGTCCTGACTAACTTCAGCAGCTCACTAACATGCCGTTCCTGTGGCTGAGAGAGTTTTCCCCCCATGCTCCCTGAGAAAATCCTATTGTCCAGCAATAGTTAAGTACGTACTTTACCTATTCCAGGCGAGGAAACACGGAGGTCCGGACACGTACCACCTGCAGTGGATCACGTCGGGGTCACCACTTGTGGTGGTCTCCCATGGAAAGAATGAGACACAAACGTGTGTACTCGGGATGGAAGCCCAGAATAATTTCTAGTGCTTCCTTTTATTGAGATTTAGTACATAGTCAGCATAATTACATTTTGGCTTAATAATTAGATATAGTAAAGGCTTGTTTGCAGTTGTTTAAGCTGCCTCCTTGTTTGTATTTGTCCTTATTGTTCTCTTTTCTTTGCATTACCTTAGTAACCTTTAGACAGGCATGTATGTATAAAGCATTATATTAATCATTGCTCAAGCTCAGGTCAAAGTTTATTCCCACACCACAGACCAGAGACCCTGGGAAAATCCCCCCAAAAGGCTGCAGGAAAATTTCCTACCCCGTTTTCCTACCGATCGATCATTTTTTATTTGGGATCGCAAGATACTGTCTCCAGCTCCATTTTCGGAGAGAGAGAGAGAGACTTGGCTTCATGCAAGGAAAGCAGCAGAAGTCTTTCTCTCCCCAAACTTCACCAGAAATTAGTCTTTGTGAGATTTGTCGCGCCAGCACAGTCTCTTGGAGCAGGATGCCTTGCAGGGTCCCAGATTCATTTCTGGCAGAGTTTGGCAGTGAGAAAGAAAGACTTCTGCTGCTTTCCTTGCATGCAGCCAAAAGCAAAAGTAGCAGCAGAAAGAAACAGCCCGGTGGTGTGATTCACCAGCAGCAGGTGCGGATGGCTGAGGTCTCAGAGAGCGAGGACTCAGATGAGGGGTCTGCTTGTGATGCACAAATGGGGCCAGGATTATCAGAGAGTGGAGTGCTGCCTTCGGAGCTTGTGGAGGCTGGCAGCTGTGATGCAGAAGACCCTGAGGAGCCTGTGCCCAGTGCATTTGTGTGCAGGGCTGCTTGAAGGAAAGAGCAGCTGCAGCAGCACGGGCGACTCAGGAATAAGGCTGCAAGGTGATGGCCCCTCCCTTAAGGGATAAAAGCCAGCCCTCAGAGGTGGGATTCTTTGCAGGAAGAAAGTTGTTGCACTTCAAATCTTGTGGAAGTTCTGACTATCCTGGTTTGTGTTTGGAGACTTTTGGTTTTGAATATTTCCTTGCAATTTAACCTAGTGTTCTTGGCAGCCTTGTACAACCTTGGCAAGGCTTGTTCTTATCTGGGACAATTAGTTTTAATAGCGATTTTACTGTGAATGAATGGATATTCACAGAGAAGCATTAAAAAGGGTTTGCTTTTATCTCGTTTGGTTTTTGTTTGCTTGGAACAAGGCTTGGGTCAGAACAGGTGTCCAGGCGAGGTGTGTGGAGTGGGGCAAGTTCCCACCCCTCTGCCCTTTCCCCCCCTCCCCTCACTACCTCGTGTTGTTCGTAATGCAAGCAACACAAGCCTTGTGTTCCCACACAGCCTGGATTAATTGCTTTGGGGAGTGCTTTGAGGGTGGCATTTCTCTGCGGACCACCAAAATGTTCTCATGGACCACCAGTGGTCCCCAGCCCATTGGTTGGCGACCACTGCCCTACACCATTTCTGACAAATGGCAGTCCAATCTCTTCTTGAAAGTCTCAAGTGATGAAGCTCCCACAACTTCCGAAGGCAAGCTGTTCCAATGGTGATTGTTCTGTCAGAAAGTTTCTCCTTATTTCCAGGTTAAATCTCTCCTTGTTCAGTTTCTATCCATTATTCCTTGTCTGGCCTATAGGCGCTTTTGAAAATAGATTGACCCCTTCCTCTCTGTGCAGCCCCTCAAATATTGGAAGACTGCTATCATGTCTCCCCTGGTCCTTCTCTTTACTAGACTAGCCAAGCCCAGTTCCTGTAACCATTCTTCATATGTTTTAGTCTCCAGTCCCTAATTATAATATATTATATTAATATTATATATACATATATATACATATACATATATACATACCGTATATCACATATAATTATATAATTCATGGGCTTCTTCCCACCTCCTGCTGGAAGAATATGTTTTAATTCCAAAGCTACGTACAGTCCAAAACACTATAGCTTACTAATTCATCTCTTTATTTCCTGTCCCTGCTGCTTATTTACCCCATTGGGGGACAGATGCTTTTCAAAGTTCCTTTGAAGATGCCCTGTGAGTCTCTAGGAGTTACCTTTCCTCTGGGTCTTTTAAATTTATGATGAGTAGGAAAGAAGTATAAAACATTTATATAAACAGTATATGCTGATTTTATTTACATGAAAGAATGCACATTATGAGCTGGAAATAACAATTGTTTAAGTTCTCTTCTGGCTCTCCCCATCTCTTATTCAAGCAGAAAGCAGTTGAATGGATCTAGTAGAAGTAAAACATTTTATGAACTTTTCATACTACCAGGGGAAAAGGCATTCTTGGTTCTTAGCCTCTTCCTCTTTAGAAAGGCCTGTCTGATGTTACTTTATTGCTCACATCAGATATTTTTCAACTGGGAAATCCAAACCAGTTTTTTTTTAGATATACACTGTATGTATATAGCTGCCTTTCAACCTATATATTTTAGGGCAGCTCACAGATAGAAAGCAAACAAGAAGTTTTATTACTATTCAAAGAATAGTAGTTGAACATAGCACACATACAAAAATGTAATTAGAGCCAACATTTTATATTTTATTACATTTTTATGCCACCCATCTTGGCTTAGACTAAGTAAAAAGCAGTAAGATATATTAGAATATTATCTTTAAAATTGGCTTAAAATTAACATGACAATAAAACAACCTCTGACAATATAATTTCTTCCAAGTGTCAGACAATGAGACTTGCTTACCTCCAGCCAACATGGCCTTGGTCATTGATTTGATCTATTACAACTGTAAATTTTAGTAAAGTTGGTAAAGGTGAATTTAAGCCACCACCTTTGGGGGAAAGGATCAAGACAACATCGGAATATGTCCTTTTAAACTGTTCAGTGGAATATCTCTGTGTAAGGATGAGTCTTACCTGAAAGGTTCAAGTGCTATTAATAAAAAAGCCACTATGCATTTCAAAAAGGTGCAGGCCATCTACTCTCTTTAGATGTTTGCCTTCCACCAGCGCTAGCCTGATCCTTCCCCCAATAGTTCCAGTCCCCTTTAAAAGCTCTTAACATTGGATCCCACATCCACATTTGATGACTGAAAATTCCATTACTGTAACTAGCCACTGTGTCAACAAGTATTTCCCTTTATCTGTCCAAAAGGGGAGAATGGTTTTTCCACATCAAGCATCATTCTATATACCTTATCTTATCGCTCCTTATCTTTTCATTGTAAGACATCTGAATTTGCCCTCCATTAATTCACAAAATGGGGATTGCACCATAAAATCCTAGAAGCACCCCGAAGTGCAGGATCGACCAGTAGAAACAAGAAGAAGCAGCGGCCCATATAAGCGGTAACCTCCAAGGACAAAAAGGCTGACTTCAAACGCAATGCCGTCAGAAGCGTGAAGGAGACAACGCGATGGACAGAATTGTATAGCCCGGCCCAACTACAGCACCGAACCCAGCCGCCGCTATTTTTAATTGCCGATAAATTGCGCATTGGGTCCCTTCCAACTCTGATTCTCTGTAAAGAAGGAGAGCAAGCGCAAAGGCAACATTTCGCGCGAGGGGGGCGGGTGATACCAGGGACCGGAACAAAGGAAACGATCCCGACGGGCTCTCCAAGCAATCGGCAGGAGCAGCCTCGCATTTCCGGACATGGAGGAGGAAGAGGAGGAGGAGGAGGGGAGAGCTAAGGCGCAGTTCCCGGCTACGCTCGGCAAGGGGCGCTCTTGTTCAAGGCGAGCGCGGCCCGGAGAGTGTGTTGGAGTGATGTCAGGGCTCGCTGGGTTGAATGCAGCCGTACTTCCTGTATCAGAGCAGGCTTGGCTAAATACCAGCGGGTTTTGCTCCTCCTGACCTAGCGAGCGGCGAGCTGCGGGAGGAGGATTGTCAGCCCGCGATCGCGCGTCTCCCCTTGGGAACGTGGCTTGGCATCTCCAGGCGGGGAGAGCTGCATGTGGGCGAGCAAAGCCCGGGGGAGAACATGGCAGTGCTCAAACTGACCGACCAGGTAAAAAAAAACCAGAGAGAGAAAGAGACCAACAATAGAATCGGGGGAGGGCGAGGGGGGGGGGGAAGCCCACGAATAGCCGCTGCATTGCTGGGAGGCTTTTGGAGAGCAGCCGCCGCTGCGGCAGCAGCGGCAGCAGCAGCAAGTGAGGCGGCGGCAGCAGGTCGCATCGGAGGCCGGGTCTTCGTTTTGGGGAGGTCGGGGATCGCGAACTGAGCGCCGGGTCTCCTCCTCCTCCTCTCGGGGGCGAGCCTTGCAAGCAAGCCATCTCGCGGGCTCCTGGGTGCCGCGCTGCCCAGGGGCGGGAGCAGAGGAGAGGGGAGTGCGAGGATACGGTCGAGGCGGATCGCTCAAGTTTCTCATTGTCTAGGAAATGGGAGCAGTTGTCAAAACAGGAGGCGGGCATCTCGGAAACGGCAGCGCTTTGGCCGCGTTCGCACAACCGCACAGCCCACCGCGCTTTCGGCGTTCGCACGGCACGCTGGCCTTTAAATGAACCGCACGGACAGCCCGTCCCAGATCTCAAAATCGCGGATTATGTTTTCGTGCCCCCCCCTCCAGTTCCGACCCACGGTTTTTAATCCCTACCGGCGCGTTTTGCCCTCATCTTTCCTATCTTGGCGTTGATCAGGCCGGAGACACGCTTTCACATGTTGACCTGCATCTCCACTGCTGGGAGGGGAAAAGATAAGGGGATAATAAACGTGTAGTGTGTGCCGAAGCGAGGGAGATAGAGAGTAAATCGTTGAATTGCTCTGTTAGTTGCAATGCCCCTTCAGTCCCAGCTTTTTGACATGAATGGCTTCGCCCGAAATATTAATGCATCTTTACTGCCCCCGCCTCTCTCGTCTTCTCTGTTCAAACGTTTACACTTGATAGCGATCTGTGTTCATGCCTGTTAATTGGCTGTTCAATCGGGGCCAGAGCCCAATTTTCTGGTGAGCTCAAATATTTATGCAGCTTTTATTAAGCCAGAATTTGTTTTTTTAAAAAAACCTGCTCCTAATAGGCTGTATTAGAACTTTTAGATTGGTTGAAGGACAAGGCTAGGAGGAGTGAGTTGAAGGGCTGATTGTCTTAATTTAGTTAAAAGTGCTTGGTAGGATGAAAAGCAACACAGGTCTCTGTTAAGAAGTGCCTCTTGAGAATATAAGGACCAACCTCACTGTTTTCCCAGCACAGGGATGCTATGTCTTGAATGCCAGGCAAATAGGCCCCTTTAATTCTTTTCTAGGCTGCTGGCAGTGGGTGAGTTTTGGTAGAGATTCAGATGGGTTTCATAAAGAGTGAAATGTGGGGTGTAAGAGTTAAACTTCCTCCGCCTTCCCCAAGTGTGCTCCAAAACCCACACATTATACATATAATTTGAAAAAAAATAGAGCTTTATAACACATTAGCTTTGGAACACGTTCAAAGAGCTAAAAGGAAGTTTTAACTACCGTGGTTCAAAATGTTCAGTTTAAATATTATCCTGGAACCTTGTAATAAAATTGTCTCAAAAATCTCAGCAGTAGGGATTATCCCTTTAGATTTGCAGAAAAGTGAAGAAATTGTTGGTTGTATATATGCTATTAGTCAAGAATTATGTTTTCTTACAAATGTTCAGGAAAGAACTTTTAAATGCATATTAAGGAGTACTTTGACCTAATTTACTCTAATCATTTATTTCTATTCTTAAATAGCACATTTTTTTTCAAATTCTCTTATCAATAGCCAAACAAAGCATTTAAGGGCAACCTTAAGTTCCTTTAGTAATCTAACTTGTCTCTAGAATATGTTGACTATTTTGCATTCAGTTAATTTAATCTAATTTTGCTTTAATTTAGTGTGTATAATTTGTCACTTTGGTCTAAGTCTTCTCCTAAAAGTATTAAGTTTTGTTTATGGGAACACAACCTCTTCTTTACATCCAATACTGTACTGCAGCATAGTGTTAGCTAATAACTTCATATAGTCTTACATAAAATAATATGTATTTATTCTGTAAAGTAGACTATACATTTTGGTAGCCTAGATTTTTTTTAGAGCTGTAAGGCTGATAGCATTTATAAGTGGTATCTCAGGTCTACCTCTTGATGCTGCTTTACTTTTATACAGATACTTCTAATTTACAATAAAATGCTTTCATTTTGGGTAGCTTTCTCTGGCCTCCACAGTATAGCTTCAAGTTCCATTAATCCAGCTAAGATTTGTAAATTGAACTCAATGAATATTAAAGGTGTTTGTGCTTTAGATGTATTTCAATGCTTAGACTTTTTCTTGAAACCAGATTTTCCTGGGATTTAGTTATAAAGGTTTAAAAACTTTAATGAGCCTTGATGTTTAATGGTGTTTGCCATTTTTTCTTCAGACATTTTATTTTTTAAGTTGCCCAAAGCCACTAGAACTGGGTAAGAGAGTAACAGAGAGACAGACATATTCAGAGTTTGCACAACATAGTAAATCCAAACTAAATGAATAACTTTTAAGGTTTAGCATTCTGTAAAAATTATGTTTTGGTTTAGCATGTTGTGATTTATTTAAAAAGCCATGAGTAAGCCAACTAATATTTTAGCAAAAGGTGTGAGGGAGTTTACTTTTTTCCTCATGTTGCTTAGTTTTAGTCATAGGCAAATTAGTTTTAATCAGCCAAACTTAGTATTAAGAAATCTAAGACTTCTCTGGAAGGTAAAGGCAAGAATTTCTGCTGGTTCCAGCAAACACCCTCCTCTCCACCCCACCTCAAATAGGAGGCCTTCTGATTCCCTGGAGCTTTTTCATTGGTTAAATAAGGGAAGAGCCAATCCTTGCCAGCAGCCTTTTCCCCTGAAGGCTGGGGGCAATCCAGAATGGTGGGAGAGGTACAGGGAGAGACTGTTTCCATCCCTACCAATTGCAATAACATTGCACATGTTGGGCTTTTGAATATTGACAAGAAGAGCTCTGCTGGTCATCTTAATCCAGTATTTTACTCCTCAGAAAATGGGCAACTAGATGCCCCTTGGGTGCTTAGTAGAACAGAGATACAGACATACCATTTACCCACCCTTGTTTCCCTGCTGCTTCCAAAGGTAACATTCAGTCTTCAAGATTAATAGTCTTTGATAGACTGGTCCACCCTCTACCCCACTCCCACCCCTTTTGAGACCATTGTACTACAAATTCTGTTTTGAATTATCATCATTAACCATTTTCAAATAGTAAAGCTGGGGGCAAAATAATAGCAAATAAATAAAATTTCTGTCAATGGAAAAAGCATGAATAGAATGAAAATTTTACATACAGCCTACTGGAGGAGTTTGTGTATCACTCTGAGACATAATGAGATTTATTTATTTATTTGATTTGATTTGATTTTGTCAATTGCTTACAAGATAATAGATACAAGTATAAACATAAGTAAGAATACAGGAAATAGGTACAAAGGACTGGGGTGAGGTCAATAGTGGATAATTTGAGGTTAAAGGAGTGGGGGTTAGAGGATGTAACAACAGAGTCAAGGTAGTGCATTCCAGGCATTGACCACTCTGTTGCTGAAGTCGTACTTTCTGCAATCAAGTTTGAAGCTGTTTACATTGAGTTTGTATCTGTTGTGTGCTCTTGTATTGTTGTGGTTGAAGCTGAAGTAGTATTTATATGATTTGTCCTTATGTGTTCAGTTTATTCCAGAGCATGGATCAGTGTAATATATGAATCCAGTCACTCTTGTGGACAGTTCAATGGCCACAATAAAATAGGTCCTTAGAAAGGTATGCATTTCTAGTAAATTATCATACATTCAACAGCCAAACATGCATGCTTGAATTGCCTCCCTTACAATAGGCTTGCGTAATCTCTTCTATGTGATACAAACATGCCCCGCTATCTTAGCTGTGACTCTAGATATATCCCAAAATTGTTTCCGAATTATTATTATTAATAAGACAAAATAACAGAACACTCTTTTAAAATACATTTAAATGTAAATCAGATTTTAATTTTAATTACATTTTTGTTCTGGCTCCTGCATGACTACCTACAAGCAATTCAAATCGATATCAGCTCTCTACCCCTTAAATGTTGCATACTTGTGGCTTATTGCAGCTGTCACAGCAGACACTATATGTTCATCTTGTTGAATTGATTGATTTTTGCCAGATGTCCTTAGCTTATACTGTTCACATTTGCTACTTAAGGCTGGTGGTGCTTCAGCAAAAGCCCATTTCAGTCTGTGTGCTCTCCTATTAAGAACTAATTTCTGCTTTTGAGGGAGAAAAGAGACTTGTGGCTTGTGTAAACATCCTGCTTGTGAGTGTTACATGGAGGTTGATGCAAGAACTTCTGCAATTAACTCTTGTGACACATGTTACAAGACACCATGCCCCTGGATTTGCTTCAAGTCTATGAATCTAAATGCAGTGTTACTGCATGCTTAGCCAGAAATAAATGTGCCTGTTTTCATGATATACTTAGCATGGCATATTGCATGAAAAACCATTTCCAAACGCAGAGAAAGTTCTGGGCAGGAGTAAAATGTTGATTCTAAGATAAAACAAACATGTTATTTTGCAGGTGACAAGACAATTCTGCTTACTGGTACAACATTCAGAGAAAATACCCAGCAAAATCATATATATATTCATTGGTAGAGTTGTGTAGATGATTGCTAGGCTAGGGTACTTTCAGATGAGAATCCTGTTGACGTAACTCACAGATTCTTCCTAGATCCACACTTTGACTGGTTTTGCATGTTTTTATTATGCTGTGGTTGGCTCCTCTACAGTTTATTGAATAAATCACAATAGGAGAGATTACATATTTCACCAAACCCAATGATGAGTTACAAATAGTAATCATATGCTTGACTTAATATGTTAATCCAAAACCAAATCATGTTTTCACACAAACTGATCAGTATGATCCTCCATTACTAAGCCTCCCATGTTGCAAGTAGTCCATGACATGCAACAGTTCATTTAGTGACTGTTTGAAGTTACAATGGCACTGAAAACAATGACTTATGATGGTTTTTTGAACTTACA